TGTCACACTGAGAAAAAATCGTAGACTGGCAGATGTTTCACCTTGTCTGGCTGTCGAGGATTTCCCCATCTTGCAGGGCACTGGAAAGATACAGATGGTTAATTCAGAGACACAAGCGAATACAAGTTGTACTTCAAATTCAAAACTAAATGATGTTGGATTGGATGAAATTGACATCGATCTCTGCAAAGTCACGGATGCATCTAAGGAGAAACTTGTTCAGTTATTGATCAAGTACAATGATGTCTTTTCTAAACATTCGTTAGATTGTGGCGAAGCCAAGGAATTTGAACACTGTATACGACTTACAGATGAGAGGCCTTTCCGATTACCATATCGTCGGATTCCTCCTGCCCATTACCAAAAACTGCGGCAAGCGCTAACTGAAATGGAGGAGCAAGGGATTATTAGAAAATCTGTCAGCGAATATGCATCACCGTTAGTGCTTGTATGGAAAAAAGATGGAAGTCTTCGCATTTGTACAGACTTTCGGTGGCTTAATGCAAGAACGCTCAAAGATGCTCACCCACTCCCCCATCAGTCGGACTGCTTGGCTGCTTTAGGAGGTAATAATTACTTCAGTACGATGGACCTAACCTCAGGATTTTATAATTTGCCTATGAGGGAACAGGACAAGAAGTACACCGCTTTCGTTACTCCTATGGGGCTACATGAGTACAACCGCATGCCCCAGGGTTTGTGCAACAGCCCAGCTTCATTCATGCGGATGATGCTTAGCATTTTTGGAGACATGAACTTTAGCAGCTTACTCTGCTACTTGGATGATTTACTTGTATTTGGATCTACTGAGGAAGAAGCTTTGAACAGGCTGGAAATAGTTTTCCACCGGCTTAGGATGCATCGCCTAAAGTTGAGTCCCAAGAAGTGCCAGTTCTTGCGTGATTCAGTAAAATTTTTAGGCCATATTATTTCTGGAAGCGGCATTTCTGTGGATTCTGCTAAGGTAGATGTTATATCTAAAATGTCCAAGTCACAGCTCATGGAGGAGGATGGTTGCACTCCATCACCAAAAAGAATTAAGTCGTTTTTAGGAATGATTTTTTACTATCAACATTTCATTCCTAATTGTTCTGCGATTGCTAAGCCCCTCTTTGCTCTAACTGCAGGTCAAAAGAGACGAGGTAAAGGGAGATCTGGGAAGCATGTTGGCACATTTCGGAAGCTGAATCCCAGTGACTGGGTAGATGAGTGCGATGTTGCTTTCAGCATGCTTAAGGAGAAGTTGTTGAAATGTGCTGTTCTAGCACATCCTGATTTCTCAAAACCACTCATTCTCTCTATCGATGCATCTTTGGATGGGCTTGGCGCCGTGCTTTCCCAAGTTCCAGCAGGGGAAGAAATAGCCAGACCTATTGCTTTCGCCAGCAAGACCTTGAGTGTGTCACAGAAAAAGTATCCTGCTCACAGGCTTGAGTTTTTGGCTTTGAAGTGGAGCGTGTGCGAAAAGTTCAGCCATTGGCTCAAAGGGCACACCTTTACAGTTTGGACTGACAACAATCCACTTACTTACATAATGTCAAAGCCAAAACTTGATGCCTGTGAACAAAGGTGGGTCTCAAAACTAGCCCCTTACTCTTTTGACATTAAACATATCGCAGGAACAAAGAATGTGGTGGCTGACACTTTAAGTAGAGACCCGTTTGCGAGAACAGTTAGTCACAGACTCATGAATGAGAGTTACAACCATCTCCTGACTGAAGCTGATGCCGTTAAGGAAGATGGTATACAAGATGCGTTTCGATTAAAGGTTGAGTGCCACAAGTGTAATGATCTTGTGGAATGTCTATCCAGATATGAGCAACCATGTGACTCAGTAGTCATCAAGTTACTTTGCCAAGTCCATGATGAGTGGGAAACTGCTACATTTACTCGTGCAGTCCAGTTGGCACAATCTGTCTGTCAGGTTGCAGCTGCTAACCAAATCTCTTTACTTGGATTTTCTCATGATGAGTTGCAAAGGAGTCAAGAGCTTGACGGTACTATTTCGAAAGTTCTCCCTTTAGTAATTCGGAAAAGACGCCCTTCTCGACGAGAAAGAGACCAGTTGGATATCAGAGCTCTAACACTCATAAAGCAGTGGGATCGTCTGAAAATCCAGGACGGGATCTTGTATAGAGTGACAAAGGACCCAGTAAGCAGACAGAAACGCCACCAGTATGTTCTCCCTCAATGTATGAAGGAAAAAGCTTTGAGTGGTCTCCATGATCTTGCTGGTCACCAAGGACAGGCTAGAACAATTCATTTAGCAAGACAGCGATTTTTCTGGCCCAAGATGGACCATGAGATTAAGGAGTATGTCAAGTGTTGCAGGAGGTGTATTCTGGCTAAAACACCTGAGCCAGCTGCTAGAGCCCCACTGGAAAGCATAAAAACTTCTGCGCCAATGGAGTTGGTTTGTCTTGACTTTTGGAGTGCAGAGGATAATAAGCAACGTTCAGTGGATGTGTTGGTCTTGACAGATCATTTCACTAAGCTCGCACATGCTTTTCCTTGCATTAACCAAACAGCTAAGCAAGTCGCTCGGAAGTTATGGGATCATGTGTTCTGTGTCTATGGTTTCCCTGAGCGAATCCATACAGATCAAGGCACAAATTTCGAGAGCGAGCTTATCGCTGAACTTCTGGCGCTTTCTGGTGTCTCCAAATCTCGCACGACTGCCTATCATCCTATGGGCAATGGCATCACAGAACGGTTTAACCGAACATTGGGGACCATGATACGTTCATTGCCCTTGAGATCTAAGGACAAGTGGCCACAACAGATACAGACTCTGACGTTCGCCTATAATTCAACAGTACATGAAACAACTGGTTATGCCCCTTTTCAGCTTATGTTTGGGCGCATACCACGGTTGCCTGTGGATGTAATGTTTAAACAAGTTTTGAATGATCCTGTAACTGTTGATTATAGCAACTATGCTGCTGCATTGATGTCTCACCTTTCAGAAGCAGCTGAAATTGCCCAAAAACATGCCACACAAGAACAAAACAAACAGGCTGAGATGTATAACCGCAGGATAAAAGGGGTACATCTACACTGTGGAGACAGAGTGCTGATTGCCAACAAAAGCGAAAGAGGCAAACGGAAGTTAGCAGATAAATGGGAACCTACCGTATATACCATCGTGGATAGTGACCCTAAAACACACATATACAAGGTGGAGGATGATAAAGGACTGACCAAAGTGGTTCATCGGAACATGCTCTTGGATATTAGTTTCTTACCTGTAACACTTCCAGAGGAGACATCAGACGAATCAGCAACTGAGGAGTGCTCAGATGACTCAGAGTGTGAGAGCCTATTATCCAATTCCACTGATTGTCTGGAGGATGAGACTTCTAGAAACAGAACATATTCAGGGGCATTAAACAAAGAACATTCACCAAATTCACTGTCTGTTGACGAACCAATACAACAAGATGTTGATAGTAGTGACACTTACCATGGTGATTCCAATTCAGGGAGTCAAATCCAAATCCTTTCTGATGAGGCTTCGGGTCCATGTGATTCTAACAGTGACAGTCCATCTGCGAATTCTGTTATGTCCAATCCAGACGTTGGTGATTCAGTGATTGTAGATGTGTTGTCGTCAGATCACGAACAAGGCAAAATTACAACACGAGCTGGTAGAGTCGTAAAGAGAGTCAACCGTCTTATAGAGACCATGGCCCAAAAGCCATTCAAAATGCCAAACTTGTCGAACAGTTTTCTAAAAAAGTCTCAGTCAGTTTTAAGTTTGTTTTGATGACACTATATGTTGACAAGTCTACTTTTTTTTGGTCATTTTGGCAGATAATCGATGCTGTTAAATTGCATATAAGACACTTTATGTGAGTGAGGATTTCACACAATTGAATGATTACATGTGGTATGGTGTATTTGGCAACATACTTTACTAAGAGGTTTTGAGGCCTGATCAACCTCAAATTCCTCTGTATCTGTCAGGACAGATAGCTTTCAGTGCTGTAATTATGATGTTCATGTAATGGGATTTCTTGAAAACTCCTCTTCATAGATGTGCAGAAATTTTGATGAAATTAGGGGAGGTGAATGTAACAGGTGTTATATTATTTTTATTAATTTCACTCAAAATTCTCCTTGTTATTCATCAATTATTTTTATTTAATTGTGTATTTTCAAAGTTGTTCTTTATATATCTTATATTTCAGAGTTAATGAAATCATAGTTGTTTGTTTTCAATGTGTTGGTGTATTTTGGAAAATTGCGCGTGGCCCCTTTAAGTGTCGTTTTCCGGTTCCGCCTGCTCTCACTCAGTTCGCGGCAAACGCGATTGAGGAGAGGTTGGTGAGCTCCTAAGGAAGGCACATATACTCAGCTTTGCCATTTGTTTGCTTTATTCATACAGAATAAAAGCCTGTTAATTCCCATATGACTGGTTCCTTTCGCCTAATCACAACACAACGCAGAGTAAAGCGAGGACCGGTCACATATAGTAACGTATATTTACCAAATATTATTCTGTTAGAAAATCTGGAATCTGGTCGTTCAATTCACCTTTAATGATGTCCAAATTAAGTTCTTAGAAATGCATATTACAACTAATACATTTTGATTAAAATCTACCAAATTCCTTCATGAAAGATGTTTTTTTTTACTTATTAAAGATATCAATAATTTTGATACATCAATGTATTGCAACATGTTTGCTATTCCTACAAATTTAGCCATGCAACATAAGATCCAGGGTCATTTATAAGAATACTTTGAAAATTCTATAAGAATTTTCCTTGGCAACAAGATTGGTAAATGTATTGAGGTGCACCGTAAATATGCTAGAATAGTAAAAATATCCAAGTTAAACTTTTTTTCTTAAGCTTGTTAAGAGTGCATATTTTATTAAATATGTAATTTAAAATATTATTTTGAGGAGTTAATTGGTTGAACAGTAAACAAATACTAGTATGAACTAGCTACAAAATTGTAATTAATTGTCAATGCTTGAAATAATTTCACACAAATGTCATCAAATAAATTTTATTTTTGATAAATTCGTCATTTCAATTAAATAGCATCCAGAAACAAACTGATTTAAAGGTGCCATTCCAAGAAAAAGCTAAAACATTAAAGTGAACAGAAAGATCAAAGTAATCATAGATCTACACCACCACCAATTAAAATAATAAGTTTTCAATATTCAATAAAAAAATAAAAACACTAATATGAATGAACAGAAGGTCATTTCTTTATTTATATACTTCTTTATTCCCCTGTTCTTACTACTGCTGCGGAAATTGATTTTATTGTGACACCTAATGTTCTCATCTCCAATTAGATTTTTTAATTAAAACTTTTCTGAAATATGAAGGGAGTTTAGAATTCATTCTAAGCATTTCATCACAACGGAAACAGTGAAATAAATGACATAATCTTTGCAGTCCAAGAGATTTAAAAATCCACAGTATTGATTTACAAAATTCACATTAACTGATATTTTCTAAAAGATGCGTCAGACAGATAAAAACAGAGGCATTAGTGTTGATATGTTACTAACACACTCCAGAAAGCCTACCAGCTCTACAAAGAGCTAAACAACAGAAGGATTTGAATTTAAGTTGCAGCACAACACTTAAAATCACAAACGCTGAAAGATTAACAGTAAAATAAAGGAGTGAAGTGAAAGTGTTTTGAGTGTTTGCAGCTCAGCGTTGAGTTTTCTGCAGCTGTCATCATCCCTTCTCCCAAAATATACTAAAGTGCTTCTGTCTATGCAAGCAAAACCTCCAGCACACTTCGGGAAAAACAACAACAATAATGATGTGGTAGAAAAAGCCTCAACTCTCTGACTGAATCTCGCTGATCGTTCCTGACGCTGCCAGCCTACAGCACTGGTTTCATCTTCTGACTTTTTAAAAATACTCAGGAGAGGTGGTTTTTAAACAGCACAGGATGAACATTAGGGTTTGTGGGTCATGTGGAGGGCAGGGGCATCACTGTATGACACTTGTGTGTTGATGTGTAGAGGTGGTGTTTGCGCCGCAGTCCACATACAGGTACTTTTCCTGAGACACCTGCTCAGCGTGGCCGAAATACACAGCAGTGACAGTCATCCTGCAGAAACACAGACTCTTTATTAGGATATAGTCTCAAACTGATATATATATATATATATATATATATATATATATATATATATATATATATATATATATATATATGATATGTTATATATTGTTGTGTATCTAGAATGAGTAAACAAACCCCTAAATTCTGCTAAATGATTTGCAGGGCATTAAACATTTTTGTTTATATGTGTGGCCCTATAATACTTAATTTGTCACAGATTTTCAAAACTCATGGCATGATGTGCTTCAATTCTTGTTTTTTCAAAAAAATGTTTTTTCTTTGGTCTTAAGAAGCATTAGGCTTGAGAAATCCTGGAGTGACTGATTTGTGGTTGATTATTATATTGTAAAACAAGCAAAGCAAACAAAAAGAGAGAAAGGAAAAGGAAAAAAATACTAACAAACCTGCAACTTTTTAAAAAACAAAAATTCTATTTTAAAACAAAGCAAATATAAAATGTTTGCACACTGATACACTGCTGAAAAGATGTTTTACTAATAGAAAAAAACATACAAGGTCACATCAATACCAAAACCTTAAATAAATAAAATAAAAAAGAACTTAATAAATGCCAATCAGTACCAAAACCTTAAAAAGTAAAAACATACAGATAAAAATAATAAACTTCTCTACAATTTTTAAGAAATACAAAATCAATTCTTGACCTTCCAAAAACAAACAAACAAAAACAATAACTACAACTTAAATAAACTGCAGATAAATACAATAATAATACTAAAATACAATACCATAATACATGAAAATAAAAAATATATATATTTGATTTTAAAGAACTAAATCAAAACCTAATAAATCTAATAAAAAAATGATAAGAATTTAAATAACTGCAAATCAATATAAAATAACCAAAAGATGATTAATAATTTAATTAATGCAGAGTAGTTGACAGCACAGGTTTCTTCTGTCTTTTATTGTTTTTGCTGCCTCCACGAATGACATGGAGCAATCAGAGGAAATATTTATAAATTTTCAACACAAATCAGATACAGCATGTTATTAGTATAAGAACTTGTTGTTGTTGTTTTTTTCTGCATTGTGTTTGTGGATGTACACAACATTTTGTATTATTAAATCCTGACAACATTAAATTGAAATGAACTATCCTTTATTACACGAACATTAAAATAAACACAATCAGCATCAGGGGCCTGTTTCAGAAAGCAGGTTAAGTGAAAACTCAGAGTAGTTTAACCCTGAAATGAGACAAACTCTGGGTTTTCCGTTTCAAAATGGCAGGTTTGTTAAACTCGAGAAAGCAGGGTAAGTCAAGCCTGTTTCTAAAAGAGAGTTAACTTTAACTCAGAGTCAGTTACCGTGGTAACTTACTCTGTGAATCTAACCTGGTCCGGAGCAGGTTTTATTCTCTAAACTCTGAGTTTCTGTCGGTCTCCTCCCCTTTTTTAAAGATGAAGCGGCATTTCTCGCATTAGTCTTACATTTCCACACACTTATTTTAGAGCTCATTTTGGAGATGTGCATAAAAACGATTGATGGAAACGTCATGATTCACATAACTTTTGAAAATACGCATAATATAACAAGTGCATAACTGAGTGGGTTAAACTTTTATTTGATAGATGCACATAAACTACGAAGTGCACTTAAATTACAGTATGTACATTAAAAAATGGTTTGTTAGAGATGATGATAAAAATGTGTGTGAAAAAACAAACCAGCAGACTGAGCACACTGTAGAACATCTTAAATGGTGTTTTAGTCAATCTAAAATGCATTTACTGTTTCAGTATTAGTGTATATTATTAATTACCTCCGAGCTTCTGGAGTGTGTCAAGATCTCCGCGTCTGGCTTCAAACGCCCCCACGTGTTCATTGTGTGTCAATTGTCTTCTGAGGCTCAGGTACATTAATTAAATAAAAAATCATGGATGCAGCTTCTTCTACCGCAGTGATTCTGTTTTTACTGTTGATATTTGGCGCAAGTTAATCAGGAAGTGACGATTGTGTTCTCTTCGACTGTTTGGATAAAAACGCTGCTTTATTTTTAGGCGTTATTCCAGTTTTGCACAAATTATTGTAATAGCCTATATTTTGATGAAAACACAGCTATTGCCTACATTTTTGTCACACACAGAACAAAGTCACGTACGAGGCTTGTCCTTTTTTTTTTATCATAAATAATTAGCTTAACCTTCGACATGCACTGTTACTAGATTAATGGGATTATTATTCTGTCTAAAAATTATTTTATTACTGCTTACCTTCTTAATGTTATATCAACCTCTATCACTTGATCAATAAAAAGGCAGACACAGAACAAGTGCGCCGTTAAATCTAGTAAAACTGATAAAAGTGTATAAAAGTTTAGAAAAAAGTATAAACGTCACACATTACATTACTTATTTTATTATACTTAAAATGTTTAAATACTTAAAATTAAAAATTAGGCATTAACTTGAGCAGCTGTTTTCCCACGCTGTTTCTGTTTCACTGATGGTTGCTTCATTTTAAATATATACGCTCATATTTGCTATAACTTTGCATGAGCACATCAAGTTCAGCCGGAGAAAGAAATGCTTATCTCTTTTTTTAAGATGTTGCCATGGTCACTCGTAATATCTGCGCTCTATTGATAATGCCTTTTTATAGTCACGGTGCGCGCGCTTAACTCTGAGTTGGTCTACTCAAAGTTGATTGACCCAACTCAGATCAGCTATTCTGAAACCGAAAACTCAGAGTTTTTAATCTCTCGGTAAATCAACTCAGAGTTCAAGTTTAAACTCCGAGTTGTTTGAACCTCCTTACTGAAACAGGCCCCTGGTCTATTGGAATGTTTTGTTTTTTCCATTCTGTTTATTTGCATAAACTGTTTATTTCACTAAACAAAATCTGATTTTCCCATAAAAAATACTTACCGCATCAAAACAACTACGTTATGCACTTTAATTGCCTGCATGGTACAGTATTCACTGTAAAAAAAACAAAAAAATAAAAAAAAACAATCACACATATTAGTGCACTGTATAATCAACTTTCTTTATAAAAGTTTTACTAATGTAATGCTACATTGGCAAATACTTACTATATGTAGTTAATCTCATTGGCTATGGTGGTGGGAACGGTGTAATCAATCTAAAAATGAAACAGTGACATGCTTGTTATCTAATATTTACATGGAGAGGAAGTCAGATACAGAGTCATGTGACTAACAATAACTTACTGGGAGGAAGCTAAACACTTTATGTGTGTCATAGTTTTCTCATTATGAAAGTTTATAAAAATAACAGACTGGAATATTTGTATTATTCACTTTGTAATACTACACAGTTTAAAAATAAATAAAGCTTTTCAGAGCATAAGATAATTCTTTTTAAAACAATAAAAAAAATCTAAATAATTGAACACAAAAAGTAATTGAATAAAAATGCTCATACACATACAAAAGCTCTTTTGAATTCTTATTATCACAATATAATGTTAAATATATTATACTATAATATATACATAATTGTTTTTAATTTTATTTCTAATTATGCACTATATATATATATATATATATATAGACACACACATTTTTTATTTTTTATATACAACAGTTCTGTCTGGTTCTTGAATCTGATTGGCTGATAGCTGTGCGAAATATGCTAGTAACAGCACTAGTCCCACCTCTTCACCCTTCACCCCTGTGTATTACTCCGCTCACATACAGCAACAAGCAGAGTACACTCTACAGTTTGACAAATATTTCTGCTGTTGGACATCATACTGTACTTTTAAGGCTTTTTATTTGAGAATGTAGTTGTTTATATTGTAACTATGCAGTTTATTTATAAAGATAGTGCCTATTTTAAAATATTTATAATTTCTGAGAGACAGCACTTCAGCGGCCATTAGTCTGTCATACTGAGCTGACCAAAGATGGTTGACGTTGTCTTTCCACAAGATGACCCTTAGAAGATTAAAACTAAAATTTCTGACTACAGCTGATGAAATCATTATTAAACTAGTAAGTGATATTCTAAGTCGATCTCTCTCTTTTGTATGTTGCAGTGCTGTATTGTAGTGTATTGAGTGTGAGATGAGACTCGCATTTCAGAAATCTGTGCTGTGTTGGCAGAAAAATGCCTGCATGCGTTTATCATCTTCCTTATTGCGAACACAACAGCAGTCTGGTCGTGATTGTGCTGCTTTTTTCAGGGTTAATTATTATGATATCCTGACTGCAACAGAGAAATACTGTAGATCAGTGGTCACCAAACTTGTTCTAGGAGGGCCGGTGTCCTGGAGATTTTAGCTCCAACCCTAATCAAACACACCTGAACAAGCTAATCAAGGTTTTACTTGGTATACTTGAAAAATCCAGGCAGGTGTGTTGAGGCAAGAATCCTGCAGGGACACTGGGCCTTCAGGACCGGGATTGGTGACCCCTGCTGTAGACTGTAATACTGTAAGGAGATATCTCTGTAGACTGATAGGATTTCATGTCACATTCAGCCTTATAATCTTAAAATGTGAGCAAAATCACCTGTTTTGTCATCACTTTAGACATTATTCTAGAGAATCATTCAAACACTAACTCTAAAGTGACGCTGGTGAATTAGTAATGGCTGCTGCTGTTCTGACGTCAGCTGCAGATGTGAATGAATGGCGGTAGGAAGTAGTTTTTAATACAAAAGGGATTTTAGACTCTCCGTGTTTGATTTTCTTTTTTATATACATGATTGTACCGTCAAGCTTTTGTATAAATGCAATATCACACTTAAAGCAGTACGATTATGGCTGTAAATCAGCACGGGTAAAACACTAAACCTCTTGCCAATGCACGCCTCCCACCAGTGCTCATAAACAGCCATATCGCACTGCTACTCATGTGATGTATATAAATTAGTTTCTTCTGGATTTTTTTATCAAATAAATACAGCAATGGTAAATGCAAGAGATATTTTTCAAAAGCAATAAAAATATATTTTTTAATTTCATATATATGAATCAAAATAAGGCCATCAAAACAGCAGAATTCTGATCTAACTTACATTTTTATCCTATATATCATAATGTGCCCTGTTTAATTATATTGTTTTCACGTAATTAATAATAATTTATTACCCTGACTTACCCCATTTATCCCAGTAAACCATAACAAAAATACAACAAAAACCTGTCTGGGACATTTAAAACAAGAATCATTTGATGAAATATTCAAATAAGTGAAGCATGACAGTGCAGCCTCAAAATACTAATTCAATGTTATTTTACTTCATACTTTGCCAATATCCTTAAATCACCTAGGGTTTTACCCATGTCTGCGAAAACTTTTAAAAAATTATAATTTAAAACATAACATACAGTTGAAGTCAGAATTATTAGCCCCCCTGCCCCTGTTTATTTTTTCCCCAATTTCTATTTAATGGAGGGAAGATTGTTTCAGCACATTTCTAAGCATAATAGTTTTAGAAATTTCTAATAACTGATTTATTTAATCTTTTTCATGATGACAGTAAATAATATTTTACTTGATATTTTTCAAGACACTTCTGTATGGCTTAAAGTGACATTTAAAGGCTTAACTAGGTTAATTAGGTTAACTAGGTAGGCTAGGGTAATTAGGCAAGTTATTGTATAACGATGGTTTGTTCTGTAGACCAGTGGTTCTCAAACCTTTTTCATCAAGTACCACCTCAGAAACAATTTGTCTCTCCAAGTACCACCAAAATGAAAAAAAAGCAGCTACAACTCTGCATGGTTAAAAAAAACGTGGTAGATTTCCTTAGAAATATAGGCTATATGTCACATATGGAATATTATTTACATAATTTCGGTAAATTTTGAAATGTGTGTAGCATGTACATGACATATTTCATTCCTCCATGTACCACTAGAAGGAAGCCTACGTACCACTAGTGGTACACGTACCACAGTTTGAGAACCACTGCTTTAGACTATCGAAAAAAAATAGCTTAAAGGGGCTAATAATTTTGTCCCAAATTTTTTTTTCAAAATTAAAAACTGCTTTTATTCTAGCCGAAATAAAACAAATAAGACTTTCTCCAGAAGAAAAAATATTATCAGACATACTGTGAAGATTTCCTTGCTCTGTTAAACATCATTTGGGAAATATTAAAAAAAGAAAAAAAATCAAAAGTGGGCTAATAATTCTGACTTCAACCGTATATTATGATAACATATTATTTTCTACATCTTTAAGCACAGAGCAAAGTAAATATGTTGTTTCATTTTTACATACATATACCTGTTACGCTAAATATACATTATTCTAATCACATTTAAACATTTTATTCTCACTAAAGTATTTTTTAACAACAAAGCAGACACTTATTATACTTTTTACAATTAAAAAATATTTAATGTCACTTTTGTAAATGTAACTGTATGTAGGCACCAAAATGGGATTCAAATGATAAGAAATATAATGAAGTCACTGTAGTGAATCTAAAAGAATGCAGTTGAACACATACCTGTCGCATATCCAGAGGGATGATGGTGGTGACATTATTAGCGACAGAGTTTCCAATCACAGTGTTGTATAACTGCACCTGTGCTGTGATGTTGGCCAGCTGTATTGGATAGAAATTATTGTTGGTGATATTGAGGGTACTCTGAGAAGGAGAAAAAATACAGATGTTTAACAATAAGGCATAAAGGGTCAGACTTTACAATAAGGTTTCATTAGTTAATGTATGTACTAACATACCGTGATGTTTAGATATACTTTATGTAGGTTGTGATCATATGTGACGTAGGATGACTTCACTCCAGCATAAGAGACGTTGATAGTCCGAGGGAACAGGAAAAACACAGCCAGACCAGAAAGTAGCAGACACAGAAAGACTGATATGGACACATACAATGTCCTAGGATGGTACAAAAAAAAGAAGAAGAAAAAACAGCCATACAATATTTATATTATATATTCCATGGTGATGTGTAATAGATATTTAAATGAACTTACGTTCGTCTTGGCTTGAGCCTCTGGTCGCTGTATGGTATTAAAGCAACTAGTTGGTTTTCTTGATCTGAGAACAATAAATTCAGGATATTAATTATTCATATTACTTCAGATTAGTCCCTTATTTATCAGGGTTCGCCACAGCGGAATGAACCGCCAACTACTCCAGCATATGTTTTACACAGCAGATGCCCTTCCAGTCGCAACCCAGAACTGGGAAACACCCATACATTCTCGCATTCACACACACACACTCATAAACAACTGCCAATTAGTCAATCTAATTCATCTATGGCACATGACTTTGGACAGGAGCATGCGGAGGAAACCCTCGAGTAACATGCAAACTCCACATAGAAAAGCCAACTGAACCAGAAAGAACCAACTGAAACCTGTAAAATGTGAACGCTTTCACTTCAGACACTAGTTGAGGGGGATCACGGGACTGATCATGACGCGAAGATGACCATCACTGACAGATGGAGATACGGCTGCGGGGAATAAACGGTTCATTTTCACAATAATACCACACAACCCTGTGCTGTGTTTGTGCCAGTCATTTTTTTCTGATGGCTGATGCAATAACCTACGCTGCAACGCAGGATTCGTTGGCAGTTTGCTATTGAAGGAGCAGTAGAGACTATAGGACTTTGTCAGACTTTGACAGGACTTTTTTCAGTAACTTTTACAGTTCAAATTGACCCGTTTCTTCTTCCTCCGGATCATAACATGTAAGTGTCATTAAAATTGTTTTCTCGTTTTGTGAAGTTTGCAAAATATGTGTTTAATTGTGTTTTATAAGTTGTTTAATTGTGTTTATAAGTTGTTTAGTTTATAAGTTTAAAACTTATAGCTTGTGATCACTTTGATTATAGAGCAGTGCTTATCTCTCAGGTTAAATCTGTTCACATATCAATCAAAAACTATGTTAAAAACGTGACGCGTGTTTCTTCCTTTACCAAATTAAATGCGTTTCTGAACTTGCGATCCTCTGCCATTTGCCTTTGCGATGGCCTCCATCAGCTGTTCATCCACGCGCATCGCGGTCAATTTACAAAATAGTTCAACTTTTGTGAAGATTAATACTGAATGTGTGCCGTTATTACTCAAGGTTAGGATTAAGAGGAGAGTAATATGCTGATGTTAACCTGCATTGCTTTATTGCACGCATGCATTGGGTTCTCACATATTTTCTGCTACTTCATACTGTAGCCGTGGTGAACATTGTCAAAGTAAACTAAATCGTCACTTCCTGATTAACTGGTGCCAAATATCAACAGTAAAAACAGAATTTGCTGCAGTATGAAAGGCTGCGTCAATCTTTTCTACATCTAATAAATGACTTGCGCCTCAGAAGGCAAACTTGACACACAGTGAATGCACAGTGTCGTTTGAAGGTGTCAGACGCGAAGCACAGAGGCTCTTGATCCTGGAGGTCATTAATAATATAATAAGACTAATTTTTAAGCGGTAAGGCATTTTAGAATGACCAAAACAACATTTCAGATGTTCTACAATGTGCTCAGCCTGCTGGTTTGTCCATTTACACACATTTTCATCATCACATGATCTCTTATAACAAAATCACATGACCTTTTTTACCGTGCATACTGAAATTTGTGTGGTAAAAGTGTTTCCATCATAGTATATGTGCATCTTTTCTTATCAAATAAAAAGTTTATCCTACTCAGTTATGCGCATAATGCGCATTATGAAGTTTCCATTAACCGCTTTTTTATGCGCATGTGCAAAATGTGCATAAAAATAGGTGAATGGAAACATGACTAATGAAAGTGTTTTTTGACCTTGAACGCATATCAGTCCTTTATAATGCAAAATAGGGGTTCTTTTAATACTTATTATAACACAATTATTAACAATTGTTTTTCATTTTATTATTGTCAGTAATGAAAATTGCCTCTTAATTTTTAGGGGTTTCCCCCACAAGTCCTTAATTTTCTACTCTTTTTCATTTATTTTGAACAAAGCATGAATCAATTTCTGAATTCTCCTGTAACGATAAAAATGTATTTACTGTCACTTTAATGATGAATTTATTGTGTCCAGTCCAGATATAAAAATCATACTTTTTTCCAAACTTTAAAATATTAGTGCATCATTGTTTGCAAAAATATATCAAGGAACACTAATAATGATTTTTAAAATGCATCTTAAGTGCCAACTTAGGAAATTAGACCGATTTCTGTCATAATTCATAAGACATTGAAGGCATTCAGCATTGACATCACAAAAACGAAATGCAATTTTTAAACTCGTATAACATACAGTTAACATTATACTTATATCACTTAAAACAGGGGTGTCCAACGTCGGTCCTGGAGGGCCGGTGTCCAGCAAAGTTTAGTTCCAACCCCAATCAAACACACCTGGGCTAGCTAATTAAGCTCCTACTAGGCTTTCTAGAAACCAACTTGCCTCAACACACCTGCAAGTATGAGCTAAAATCACGTTTGGACGTGCCTGACTTAAAACTTATATCACTTAAAAAATACAATCTCAATGACCAGTTAAAATCTCGAAAGATATGTAGTAAAATGTTATGTGCTGTCATAATGGCAAAAATAAAATAAATCAGTTATTACAAATTAGTTATTAAAACTATTATGTTTAGAAATGTGTTGATACATTAGAAACTTTCACAAAAATGCACAAATCTTAATTGTTTTACACTTAAGACCACAACTATATATTGTATATTACAATTAGTGGTATGAAGTAACGGATGGAGGTAGACAATTCTGGTCTTACTTCTTGGTATTCTTCCTGTCCCTTGACAAGTTGGACAGGTGATGCTGTCTCTTCCTGTGAATTCGACGTATGGAAACTGTGAAACATCTTCTTTATCGCCCTCGGTTTCAGACTTTGAGTCTTCGGTCAGTTTTTTCTCGTCCTCTTTTTGCCTTGGCATGGAAAACAGAGACTTTCCCATGTTTGGGCCTACATTGAAAAATGGAATCATCCATAAAATTGCATTGCAGTGCAAGTCATAAAAGATCATCTATGTGTTCTTTAGATAATTGAGGTAAAGATGGGACGTTTAAATGTTCTCCTTAATGAGTTAATTTCAGAAAAGTATTCTTTGCATATTCTAATTAGGGAAATCAAGTTAGCTGCCAATGACTGTCAATGTAGAACATAGTTCACAGTCAATTAAATAGTGCTAATGTTAATTTCAAGTCCTACTTACATGAGATTTTAGACCGAATATTCAAAGTACTAAATAGGAAGCATGTCACAAATTGTTACTCAAGGAATGTGCGAATATAAAACCAACTTTACCTCAATCTGTAGATGTAGCTACATGTTTTCATGAACATGAACATAATATACATGTGACTTGAGCTATGATCTGCTATTTTATAATGTATTTTAGCCTAAATAAAGTATACAGTACATTTTATTAATTATTGTCGTTTAATACATTAAATTTGTTAGTCTTTTCTCAACTTAACAGTATTATTTCACAACTCGTGGATATAATAAACCTGTTAATGTTTAATGGTAAACAGAGAAGCAAGATATCTACACAACCTCCGGCCGACATTCTAGCACGTTTGATCGGATACAATACAACACTGATGGTATATATATATAAACACATTACCCTGAATTTACATTAATTTAGCTGCATCGATGCATTTATATTTAGCTAAAGTTACATAAAGAGTATTACTAACACGCACGCGATGTACATGGAGATTGTGATGTAACAGGCCTAAAAACTGGTCAAGTACAATACGACATTGCTGTTATAAGGTTGTAAGTTCAGGGTTAATGTGAAAAATAAGGTGACTGGAATATAAGTAAATGTGTTTTACCTTGTTTTGAAAATTCCTCCCGTGTGTTCGTATAATACAGTCGCTACAGTGTCGTTACTCCCAATCGTGGCGTGTTGTATTTTTCCAACAAGCCCCGCCTTCTGACTTAATATGCGACACTGTAGTCGTCGTGTGATTGGGCGATAGCTATGTACGTCAACGTTTAAAGCCAATCATATTGCAAAAGGCGGGATTTGTCAGACGGCTATATCTAAGCCACGCCCCTCGTTTGATAGTGCAGTCTCAAAGGCGTGTACATGTGTTTTGCTTTGGCTTTTATTTTATTTATTTGGTACACATTTATGAAACGACTATTAAAGGTAAGTATTCGATGTTACACAAATGAAAGTAAAAAAGTATAAGGAATAAAACAGCAAATCAACAACTACAACTAAAACTACTTTCCCATGTGAGCAGGTGTGTCTAATAGAATTACATACAGACGTATTACATTTGTATCTGGTGATTTATTTATTACACAAGCATAACGACTAATACGGGTTTTATTAAATATGCTGAGATAGCTTCTTAGATTTATATTGTATTTGTTAGAATTTACATATTTTTTAATATTACAGTGTCTGTTAATGTACTTCAATAATAAACATTTCAATTCAAATCAATAAAGAAATAGTAATAATTCAAAGAAATAATAAAAATTGGCTTTAGTTAGTTTCCCATATAGATCGTGTAACATGATATGTGGTAATATCACACATTATGCTGGGACAGGAAATAAAGAATTAGAGTTGAACATGTTTAAAGTAACAGAACCGTTACAGACTTTCATAGCAAGAAAACAGTTAAAACTTATAAAACATGTGCTTTATTTAATATCCTGCATTAATTCATATAGTTTTCTTATTTATTTATTTATTTATTTTTTGTTTGTTTTTCTATCTCATAGTCTTTCTTTTGATTTGCCTGTATTTCTTTAAAAATTGTCACTTTTCTCGTTGAAAAAAAAAACACTTGTATTATTTGTACTATTCTTCTATCTGTTTATCTGTTGCAATTGCCTGTTGGTATTGCAGTAAATAAATGTATAAAGAAATATTGCATATATCTATTGTTTACACAAATTAAAAGCATAAATTAATTATTTGTGAATAACTTGTGGTACATACAAAAGTGTCTTGCCTTCAAATAGGCTTGAGGTTAACACATCACAAAATTATTTCCGCTGTTTCAAGATCTGCAAAGAGAGTCAACCTTAATTAAAAGTAACAACATATCATTTGCTTGAGGATATCATATAGCATGCTAAGATTTTTTTTTGTTGTTTTTGAAACATGACAATAAAACAATTTTAGAATAATTAATTTTAACATATATTAGAGAAAAATATCTCATATATATTTGAAAAAATACTAGTATGCTAATTTTTTGTAAATACTATAATATATTTAAACATATAGTAAAGTTAGAAAATACCCACACACACACACACACACACACACACACACAAATAAGTAACACACACACACACACACACACACAAATAAGGAATAATATTTTGTTTAAGTTTTAGCAACTAATAATGTTGGCCTTTGAGAATTTAACATGCCTGCTTTGAGTAGATATGAGCTGTTCTAGGTTAAAACCAAAACCTCGAATCGTGTCAATCATAAACTCGGCCTTCTTAGATTGGCAGTGGACTAAACCATTTGTACTACAAAAGGTGGATTACAGGGCGTTGTATTACTAAAGGTTTTTCGTTGTTCTCCTCAAACTGGATGCGCAGTCGCGGAAAACTGTTCTTTAGCATAAAGTGTGATTATTCAGGAAGCAAAACAGATTTGTAACACTCCACATTTTTAAATTTGCAAACTATAGTTCTCATTCGGACCCCTGTAATTTTACGCGTATTGTGTTTGCAGCGGCCTGTTGAGCTCACCTGAGTTTCGGGTTTCACTGCGGTAGGAAATGGAGGACGCACCTGCCTGAGAAAACACAGCTGCTTTATCGACAATTACACGGACTTTCTCTACATACTTTTGACGGATCGTACGCTTTTAAAGCTCTTATGTTTTAATAGATATCAAGAAAATATGTCGCTGGGTGTAATATTTACCCTCCTTTTGTTCACAGGTATGGGCATTTCTTCTTTTTTCTAACCTAAGCTAATTTGCGATTAGCATGGTTTACTGTTTTGACTTCTTTGTCAGTTACATTTGCATACCAAAGTATCACGCTAATCATATTTTAGTTTATTTATACATGTAGGCCTATACAAACTTTATGTATGGTGTGTTTAATAATTTACAACAAAAATGTCCAATAGCTCTAATTGAGCATTGTCGAATGGTCGTTCACAACTTTTAATCCCACCACTACTTGTGGAAATCACCATGAATGGCAGATATGAGAGCTTCCATTTTGAAATATACCACAGGTATTTACACATTGTGCAATGGTTTCAGTTTGTCTTATTTGGATTTGCTTGTTGTTCAGTGGAGGGTAAATGTGGATTGTGTGGGAGGTGGTCATGTCCCATTCACCGCAAAATGGTATCGGTCGGACAGATGAGTCACATCCTCTATCATGAACCACCATAAATGACACTGTCCTACAGACTGATGCCATAATGTTCTTTATTGAGATATAGTTGGTGTTATATTCACTCATTTAAGGTTAGACATCTTCTTAATAATATAGTTTCAAAAAATATTCTTAACAAAATCTAAATAGGGAAATCCTAGTAACAGCCAATGACTATCAAAGTACATTGTTCACAGTCACTTAAATAGTGCTAATGTTGTTTGAAGTCTTTCTTTTGATTTCACACCGAATATTAAAAGTATGGTAAACAATATAGGGACCATGTCACAAGTTGTAACTGATCGAATGTCTGAATATAAAACCAACTTTACCTCAATATTTTCTGTCACCTGTTTGAAAAGTTTGCGAACCCTATTTTAATAATCCCAGTCAGTGCTCAAGTGGCCTGTTAGGGTCTTTCTAAGGTGAAAGGTGTTTGTTTTCAAGGTGTTATTAAACTGTTTTGCATGAAAATACTGTTTTATTATAGCTTTTGTGAAAGGCATTGTTCATTGAACAGTTTAAGTGGTTTTCCTAACAAAGGGAATAATACATATTATTTAGGCATGATATGTGACATTGTATGTTTGCTTCCTATGTTGTGTATGCAAATATACAGTTTGTTTCCTACATCACTGTAAAAATAATTGAGGTAAAGTTAGTTTTAAATTCATACATTCAGACTTTCTTCTTAATAATATAATTTCAAAAGCATATTCTTTGTAAATACTAAATTCTTAATGGTGAAATCATATTAGCAGCCATTGACTCTCAAGAGTACAACATTGTTTACAATCAATAAAACAGTGTTATGTTGTTTTAAGTCATTCTTACATGTGATTTCAGACCCAATATTCAAAGTACCATGGTAAGCCATATAGGGAACATATCACAAGTTATCACTGAATGAATGTGCAAATATAAAACCAACTTTACCTCAATTAAAAAAAAGATGGGAACATGAAGAAATTAGGTTAATTTATTAGTTTTTACACATTTAAGTGATTTGAGCATAAAACAATTAATTTGTCTCTTAAAAAGCTCAAGAATTACGTTGTTTCATCTAATTTTAAATAAGTAGTAAGTAACAAGCAGCAAATGTATTTTTTTGAGGTATCTTAACTACTAAAACCCTCATCAAGCATAATTTTACCAAAATGTGGGTAAAGTATATAAAAAATGTAAAAAGTTTAAATTAGAGGTTGGGCTGTGCGATTTAATCGAAATCGAATCGTGATTTGAAATGCTACGATTATCTAATCGTGAGAGGGCTGCGATATGAAATGTAGTTGTATTATTTAATTTCTCCTACCCAGAGGAAATGCATAATTGAGTGATGAGTGTCTTGCTAAAAAGTCATTTGAAAGTATTGCCAGTGACACGAAATCTTGCAGCAAGCAACAGTAAAGTACGATTTTAGAGTATTTTCAGCCATGTTAGTTTGAGTGTTCTGTATTTTTATTATTATAAATTTCTTGTTTGTATAATAAGCTGTGCTATCTCTCTAATTTGAGTTTAGCTTGTTTACAGAAAGTTTAGGTTATTTTATTTGTGTTTACTGTTTGCTCTAGAGAAAAATTAGTGTTTCATTTCTGAATATTAAATAACAAACTTGAATAAGTGTTTAAATAAGTTAATAACTTTTCAGTTCCTTTTTTTCACTCAGTGCATTTTAGCAGTAAGAAGCTACGATACAGATTGTTAGGCTGAAGCTTGACTACAAAATGAAATCGCTAATCAAATGGAAATTTCAATATCTGTCAAAAAAAATTGCAATTGGATATTTTCCCCAAATCGCACAGCCCAAATCAGAGGTGCCCAAACTTTTTTTTATGAAGGGCCAAAAACCAAACTTGATTGAGGTTGGTGGGCCAAAGCTAAATATACCAAATAGTATTAAATAAAGTTGCCGTGGTAACTTCCTATTTTAATAATATGTAAAAATATAAAGAAAAAATACTTTAATCGTATTAATGATTGTTTTTTTTTTTTTTTTACGTTTTGTACTTCTTACAATGAAAACTTAAACAATCTCGTTTAAAACAAAATCAGTTCAATGTTTTTCTTTTCTCTTTAGTGAAATACATGTGTCTTAATAGTGTTTTTAGCAATGTGTTTTAGCAAAAAAATGTTTTAGGGTTTCATGACCCTTTAAAAAATCGTATTATTTAACAACATTTAATTGAAACATTTAGTTTCAGTTTTGCTTTTTTTGTAGCTCAGCAATTAAACAAACAAACAAACAAAAGGTTATGTTACATTAGAAATAACAATCTCTGTTTGAGGGATTCGCCTTTCCCATCATATGTCCCCATCTGATTGGTTGGCGGGCCAAATCAAAGGTTACCATGGGCCAACTTTGGCCCATGGGCCCTAGTTTGGGTATCTCTGGTTTAAATGAGTATATACCACAAAACATATACATACATGCGTGCATACATAAATGCATAATGTTATCGCTTCTCTGGATTTGTATACAAAGGGCATGTAATTTGAGTTAAATGCAAATTTGCAAATCTGTTTTAACTGATAATGTGTCTTCAGA